AACATTAGTGTAATATTAATAATAATAATATTATATTTATTATTATTAATTATATTATTATTATTATTAATATTACATTAGTGTTAATAATAATTTATTTATTTTATTTATACGAAATCCGCAATCTAACTATAATATATTGTACACTGTGTTGCATATGGTAGTAAAATACCTATGTAGTTTTCTGTAGAAGTTGTTTCAGAATGATAATACTTAATACTTTCAATTTTATGAAAATGGCTTCGCGTTTTCTCGAAATAAAAATGCGTGCTAGATTTTCTACGAACAGAAGGCAAGAAATGTTATTCTAATTCTGTTTTGTTTCAGGCTTATTTTAAAGTTTATTTCAATAAACAAAATCGCATTACAGAGTGTCCCTTATGGCACTTCCAGGAAATGAGAGGTTCCTGAAGTCATTTGAAATAACTTTCTCTTTCGCGAAAATGCATCCGATTTTCTACGACATTCCCCAACTTCTTTTCATGCGGAAAATGCAAATTTTTAATTACAGCCATTGTTCACCGCTGTCGCAATTGTCGGACAAAATTGTACGAAAATAATATTGTACAAATATTGTACAAAATAAAAATCGTCTGCATCCCCGATCGCAAGCATCGGTAGTTAAATGGACACCGGTTCGAGCACTCGAGCACTTTTACGAAGTCGAAATAGCGTAAACGTTCTTGCACTTCTCTCACGTTTCCCTTGTTCCATAATTCAGTTCGCCGAATTTTTTTCATAAACGCGTAAATATCGCGCCACGAAAACGCGGCTTTAGCGTTCGGGATCTGCAGCTCTGCTCTATTCCCCGCAAAGAATTGGGTCATCTATTTATATAACGTGCTAGCGCGCGAAGAATGCGGACTGTTTACCAAAAATTTCGATCCACGATTTTTCTCGTCACTTGTACGCCGCGCGATCCCCGAATCTTTTCGGGAACTCGGCTCGCCTTGCGTTAATCGTTCGATCAGAAAAGAAACGATTTCATAATTATATCGGGCAAGGTCACGCGTATATTAATAGCGCGCGACGACAATGCGCGAATGTGAAAACGCGAGAGAAGAACGATACCTTCGGTTCAACTTTGACCCGCGGCTCTTCTCGGCAGCGGCGATAAGAGTTTAGCGGTCAACGACACTGATAACGATGGCAGTCACTGTTATGGAACCGTTACCCGCAGGCTACGCTATTATTTCAGCGGATTTGGCTCCGCGTCTGATACTTGTGACATTGGCTAGCAACTCGGATATACGATTACATTGTACCGTGTCTATAAATAATGTTGCATCTAGATAAAACCGAGGACTGACCGTGCCGTTTTCATCGGCTCGTGCACGTCAAACGCGGCAGAAGATCGTCGAAATTATGTATAGTCCGATAATCATTCTTGGCACCTATTTCCAAAGCGTTCTCATCTCGGCGAAGCTTCAGATGATCTACGCTGACACGCAGACTGCGGCTCTTTGTGCGAAATTAAAAATGTCCGCATCGCCTGCGGGACGGACGAGTCAAGTATAATTATCTCCCTTCTTTCGATAACATTGTTGAAATTCGTACACCGACGTTGTGTAGCTTCTTTCAATCTTTTCACCGCCCACTTTTGCCATAAATGCATAAGATCCGCTGACGAGATCCATCGCGATGGGTCTTTTTATTCGAAACTTACCCGTAGACTCCCATTCTCCTTGGAACAGAGCTCGAGCGTCAACGTAGAATCGTTGGGAAGCTTCTTCGCCGATACAGATTGGTTACCTGAAACGAATCTACTTTCACTGCGAGCTCTACGAGCAGTACTTTCGTAAGTAACGCAAGACGCGCTATGGCCAAATGGTCCCGTTCTGCCCGTGCCGCAAAACGTTACACAATTGTATGCGAACGAGAATACACGGTTCGTTTATGCAAATCGTTCATGAATAATGTGTACGATAAGAAGATATCAGCATGGATGAACATGACGCCAGACGCGAAGATGGTCCGAATAATTGAACCGTACGAATGGAACAACACTTTCCGTGAACGAACTTTTATTAAAAAAAAAGTAGCCGGGGAAGCGGCCGACAGTAACATGAAAAATCACTAGCTAACGTCGAGTTTGTTTACATCGAGGGACAGTTGCTGCCGCTAATCTAATACATCTTTCACAGGTATACATACATATGTACAAAAATCTACGTCGTGAAGCTCGCGTCCTCGGTGATATAATTCCGCGAACTCGCCGGGAGCTTGAAGCGACACGAATGAAAAACACTTATTATATTCTATGACGGGCGTACGCACAGCCAATGCTTGACAATTAAACAATCAGATGTGATACTCGTATAAAATCTGCGAACGTAGACTATTCTAACACATAGGTAAACATTTTATGATACAATACTCGATAAACGAACACCGAAAACACACTGGTCTCTCCCTGTCCCGCGAGACTGTTAAACTGACTATCACGACTATGGCCTTTCAGAAAATAATTATCACCCGTCTTCCGTGGTCTCTGCGAACCGGTACATGATCGATCCAAGGACTTAGTTATTAACGTTTCCGACGTCTCAGCACCTAGCTCTCGGTGGAACAATCCTTTCAGTAGATTGTCAACACACGAGACCCTCCGATAAATGGACTTCAACAACTGTACAATTGGTGGAGCTTCATCATTTGTTAATTCTTTTGTACGCAGTTCTCGAAAGTACTTCGTCTAGACTTGGCCCTATAGGACGCAAACGTGCCACAGTCTCGGAAATACTTTCCTCAAATCACTGCATCATCGTGGCTTGTCTACGTTAATACTAAGAAACACGATGGAAATACTTGTTCTCTTTTAACAATCGCGATAAGTTGACATCGATGGAACAATAGCTGTTCGATTCTTCCGTTTCTACGGTTTTCGTTCCACGCGTTTCTGCCATAAATACATCAAATCCGCAGATCCTAATCACACCATTCTCATCGTTTCAGGCGTCTTTCATCGGCGACGACGATCACACGAGCTGCTCGCGTCTCGGTAGCTCGGACGACATCAGTTCCACGCGACTCTCGAAGGTAACAGATCTCCTGGCCGGCACCATGGTGACCGATACGTCGCTGGGAACGTTTCGCTATAATCTTTCCACCTCCGATCCCGGATTGGTGCTCTCGGTTCTCGACTTCACGCTCGACCTTCGGATCATGCTGCTCCGCAAGGTCTCCCCGCGAAGGGACGCTCTCATCGAGTTCCTCACGCTGCCGCGTGAGAAGGTCTTGAAGGTCGGCGGTGGTTCCTCCGTTTCCGGTTTCCTGGAACAAACGAAAGGAGTCGATGTACGACCTCGAGGCAGCGAATGGACAATCGCGGAATTACCTTCGAAGACAGGGAACGTCCCACATCTTCTGATCTCTGCCGAAGTTCTCGCCGTCCTGCAGCGTCTGCGGAAGATCCTTGTCCAACGTTTCCGGCAGGAACAGGGTCATCAGACCTCCAGCGATTCCGATGATGCCTAACAGCAGAAGCGGCAGGACAGACGAGACCACGTCGAGGTAGACTACGAAAGGAGCTAAAATGCTAGCGACGTATCCCATGATGTGTATCAGGGCTACGCCTTGGGCCCTGACCACTGTCGGTAGCACTTCCGCTGCGTATTGAAGCCCTATGTTGTAGGATATGTTTATCCAAAATCGCCCTAGGATGGCTAGCGTGGCTGAGTATATGTCTGGAAGAAAGGAACGCCCATATAAAGTCTTCGAACAATTGTTAGAAGAATAAAATTCGATGCAGCAGAAATTACTGTAGAATGTTTGTAATTATCGTGACATTGTACTGCGATTGTAACTGTTTCAGCAAGAATGCGTGCAATCATTTTAGTTGGAACTAAGGATTCTATATAATGTTGCAGATGGCGGTACTAATTATGTATTAACTAAACTGTGAATGATTAAGCAAATTGCTTCGCAACAGCTGCAATTTTCTTTCTGCGTTTTGACGTCTATACAAAATTCTATATGCAGTAGTCTTTTTAATCCTGAAATGGTATACTGTTTACTACAATGTGTTACACACTGTGATCTTTCTGCAAAGCAGGGCTTCTCGCTAAAATTTGTAAGTATGTCTTAAGAACTTTCGGATCTTGAAATTCTAGTATATAGAAGATTTGTCTGAATCGTTAAAATTGTTATTACACTGCTACTTGTTTGCCAGAAAGTATAACTATTAAATACAAATATTTGCCAGAACATATGAATTTGTATACGCGAATAGCATGCCGACACATCATTGTACATTCTGCCAAGTGAATTTCTGACTGCGGTTATCAGGTAACGCATGTCCGGACACTAACTATTGGAGACAGCGCAAGCCCAGATGCTGAAGATTCCGGAAACGACCAGCGAGCCGCAGGCCAGCCACCTTCTACCCCACCTGTCAAGAACGACTGTGAGGAATGTGTCAGCCGGTAGCTCTGTCGCTGCCGCAATTGTGAATGTCACGAACACATTCAAGCCTAAGTTGTCAACGTTCCGTACGTGACCATCGAACACCAAAGAGATCGCCATCCTGGAAACGAAATTAGAAATGAATTTTCGAAGCTCCTTAAATATTAAATAATATACATATATGTATATTTTTAATATATATAATATATAATAATTTATATAATAATATAATGTATATATAATATATATTAAATATATATAATAATATAATATGTATGATATATATTAAAAAATATATAATAATATATTATATTATATTATATACACAAACTTATTATATATAATTATTATTTATTATATTATTATACAAATATGTTATATATTATTATTATATATAGTAATAATAATAATAATAATAATAATATAAAATATACATATATATGTATATTGATAATCGAAATCAGACTGTTTTATATTATTTTTATATCATTTAATATAAATATTAAACAATGCTAACTTAACACAGTAACATAGTAACAATATTATACTAACATATACTAAATTAAACAATACAATATTAAAACAAATATTAAACAATATAAAGATAATATAGAACAGTTTTTCGATTATCAAATATTTTAGATAAATACCATATAACAATAAATAAGATAGTGATGTTCCGCAGACGTGGAGTTCTGAACAAGTCCAGCACGGAGTACGTTCTTTCCGCTTCCTCTTCTTTCATTATCTTGGCGCAGGTTTCCTGTGTCGCATAAAACGATTTTTATATAATTACACACTATTTCAGTCTGAACAATAATTGTTTATTTACCCGAAATCGTTTGTACACATCGTCGGGCACCTTGGTGCCATTCATCCGCTCGAATTTCCCCAAGATCGTAATGGCTCTGTCCACTTGACCTTGACTCACTAGCCATCGAGCGCTCTCCGGTATCAACCATGGCGTCGCCACTGCCAAAACAAGAGGAACCGATGTGGCGATGCAGGTCATCCGCCAGTCGGCTAAGAAATACGCGATCCAAGGCAGAATGCATGCAGCGAATGTGAAAAACAACGCTATCGACATGTTCGCCACGAACGTCCGCCATTTTGGTCCCACGTATTCCAGCACTGTAAAATTTAACCTTCGTGTCAGCACATATTTTAAGATATTTTATAAAAGTATTTTTGTCAAACATTTTTTTTAAATGTTCTTTAAAATATTCTAATAGTCTTTAAAATATTCTGATATTCTTTAGAACATTATAAATATTCTTTGAAACATTATAAATGTCCTTTAAAATATTTTGAATATTCTTTATCACACTTTTTTAAAAATAATTTGAATATCTTTCACAACATTTTCAATATTCTTTTAAATACCCCAAACTAGATGGCTACATTATATTGTTAAAAGTGTGTTCCCACTACAAAATTTATGCCATTGAATTTCTGCAATAAAATTATAACGGTGCCCAATCTCCTGAACGTTTCAATGACGTTTAAAATCCAAAGATGCATAAAAATGCACGGTGCGGAACTCCGTCTTGAAAGAAGTGAACTCAGACCGAACGCAGCTCATTCTAATGCGCCTAATTCCACTCAATTCTGAAACTACAAGTTCGTTACATGATACGAGAAACAATGCTCGCAATAGACGATGCACTTACGGCGTATTAAAGGTAATTCTGAATTGCAGGACAAGGCTTCGTTAACCATCTAACGCTGCTGCTTCGTTAAGAACAATTATTCTCCATTTTCTGGACGAGTATAAATAGCAACCGTAATTCCGTGTCATGAAATTTCTTTGTTTTCTACTCCGTGGATTACACAATCGTCGAATTGAAAGCACGAGGCGGCGGAACGGTCACGTGCCATTATCGACACGTGAAAGTCATCCGATTACTTGAATCGTTCGAGGACGCCAATGCCCACCGGTCTTGACCTCGCTTCCTTCCGGAATAAGATGGCGACGAGGTGAAATGTTCCTCACCACCTTGGGACGACGATCCGCGACGAAATATTGCCGATAATCGTCAATTACTTGCCGCGATGGCCATCGGCGGAGTCATTGAAAGGAAATGATTACCGATGCTTATGATGTAAATCGCGTGTCTTGCGGGGAATGTGGGAAAACGCATTCGTGACGACGTTAATTACTGTCAGCTAGTCGCGCGTTCAATTGCTGAAATATTCCCATAAAGCGAGAGTGAACCAGCAAAAATGATACCTGTTCATTAGCGCCAGAACTGCCGAGCTCTGTACGCGACTAATGTATATTGTTTTAGAAGAATGACGGGACTGAATTCGCTAAAACTTCGTACGTTTGCTATTATAATTAGACCGCGGATGTTATGCATTTGCGAGATAAGCGATACTAGTCAAATTTAAAACAACTTACAAAAACGGTTAAAGAAGGATTTTATCTCATTGCCGTTTCTTGGACTCCATAAAGAACATTCTTATTTTGCGTAAAGATCCGTAGTACAATTGTAATATACACTTCGATATACAAGGTGTCCTAAAATTATGGTATCTCCGGGAAATAAGGGGTTGCTGAGGTCATTTGAAGTAAATTTTTCCTTAGCGAAAATGCAATCCGCGGCTTCGTTTACGAGTTATTGACGATAAATACTGACCAATGAGCGGCGCGATCAGCTAGCGCGAGGCGACCGAGCCAATCAGCGGAACTGGACTGAGCCACTCAGCCGATCTCGCCTCTAATTGGTCACCGTTTTTCGCTAATAACTCGTAAACGAAGCTGCGGATTACATTTTCGCCAAGGAAAAAGTTACTTCAAATGACCTCAGGAACCTCTCGATTCCCGGTAGTACCCAAATTTTGGGACACCCTGTAGGAGTTTATGAAAAAGTCTCTCATCTGAAACGATTCTACAGATCGTACACACAAAATTAATTCTTCCGTAGATCATATCCATCTTCTTGCACTACAAATCAACGCTTTCATTTACTTCTTATTTACGTGTTTACAGGTGAAATTCAACTCGCGCGAATGACACCATCGCAACGGTTCATTCGCGGGGCTAAAAGGTCGATACGATCTGCGGAAGGATCTTGGCTCAGTGCTCAAGAATCGGTTACTTTTGGTTCGATGGTTATTTAAATTCGATTTTTGGTTCTGGCGTAAAAAATGCCATCATTCCGAAGAAGCGTGCGACTACCATTTCTCGAAAGGAGGATTTTCCAAGAAGCAGCAACGGAGAAATAATGAAAACGGTCGCGTTCGCATACCTTCTCTCATCGTTAGCTTGATTCATCGTACGCCACCAAGGTTTATTGCCTCTGAGGCGCGTAACTCCTTCAGATGCAGGACTCGCTTTCCTCGGAGTCATTTGCTTCGCCGTTCGCGGCGAATATTCCGCGGCGAACGGTCGTCGATCAAAGGATGCCTTTTTTAAATCGATCGTTTACCAAGTCCGGTATTAACGCGCACGATGATAACACCGAGTTGCTGGTTGTTAATAATATCTCCGGCGCACAAAGCGGTCGATCGACCAACGTCCATCGGGTCGAGGCAAGGACGCAAATTTACGTTTCAAAATGGTGTTACGTTAATAAAGCTGTTGTTTTTGCAAAGTGAACATTTCTTACGATTCATAGAGATAGGAGTCTGATGACAGTTCGTCTCTTTGGTCTCTTAGAAAAGAATATTATTAGATGAATTATTTGATAATTAGATCAATTATTAGATTATTGGAGTAATTACTAGATTATTAGATTAATTATTAAGTCATATATAGGAAACTGAGCTAATAAACTTCTTTATTAATATTAACATTATAACAGAAATCGTACGAAGTTTAAATAAATCCTGTCTTGCTATTGTTATAAAACAATACGTTTGTGGCTCGGTAATTCCAGTGTTAAGAAAATAAAATTTGTAGACTTAAGAAGAAAAGAAACCAATTAAATAAACAACATTCATCGTCTTAAATTTATTACTGTATGCTGAACTTGCTGTTTATGCAAAGTAAACATTTCTAAAGCTGGTTGTTCCTTTCGTTTCCTTTAGAAAGGAAGATCATTAAATCAATGATTAGATCTTATACAGAATCAAAATGCACGACAGAAGATGTTGATCGAAGGTTCGATAATTGATGTCCGAGTCATGGAAACTAGTTTCCTTGATCCCGTGGTTAATTGGCCGGTGAACGGCATTCCACCAATGAAAACCGAAGCGAAACGGTCCCGCGAACCGTGACTCGATGACTCAAATCGCAGACCCGGAAAAATCGGACGGGAACTCGGCCAAGTTGACGGCGTTCGCGTTAATTGTCAAGTACTCGGGTTTCCTAATTGTCAAGGCGACTGTAATTGATCGTCCACTGCCACCCTTCTCCTTGAGAAGGCTGTAGGATCACGCAAATCGTTCGGTTCGCGCCGAACGACGCGAGCAAATCATACCGTTTACCGATTCTGTTGACGATTTATCGATGCTACGCAGCCACATGTTGATTAAAAAGCTTCATTCAAACGTTTAAAGTCTGCACCTATTTTGTTTATCTGCGATGGCTAGTAACAAAATGCAGCAAAGAATCAAATGCAACGGATGATGCGTCTGGTATTAGATTAGCTGCGTCGTAGTTAATATTGTTGTTTACAAAATTCTTGAAATACTTAATTGGTCTTTTCTTGCAATTAACGCAGACAATTTCTGTTCACAAAGACGAGATCGCAAGGATCTGCACTCTAATAACAACGATGAGGCATCTCGAAGAAGTATGGTAAAACATACATCAAGAATCTGACTCGTTGTTGCCTCCTTAATGATCGTGTCTGTGTATGTCAAGGGCACGCTAAATTAACAAAGAATTATTCGTTGTCCCTTTAACGTTCAGTATACGAAAATACAAATGGCTTCAATTCTATGGATTTACAATTAATATTTATTTAACGATACCATCACGTCAATTTTTTTACTAGCGAAAAATATGTCACTGACGTTTTGATAATCAAGAAATATTCAATATTTCATTTACGACAAATAGGAGGGATATACTATTATACTTTAACCATGGCGTTGTTCAGTCAGATAACTTTAAGTATAGAAATGGACGAGTCGGTTTTGTACGTTTCTCGCTACGAAGAATGCTTCATTTGTTTAAGGTTTATATTTGCAAATACTTGAACAAATGAGACCGCGTGTTTTCAGTATTCCACGTTGATTTTATTGATACTTGAATATCAAAGAATGCTGACGTCTGTGTACCAAAATAAGCGGCCGCGATCATACGCGCGCGGACCGTGGTTATTTAATTGATCGATACTTCCCGTTAACAATAATTATTACCATACAGTTTTACTTGTACTGCCATAACAGACAGTGACGCGAGGTAATTAAGGGTAAGGCGCTTAAGAACGTTCTGTCGGTTTCAATATTTTTCTCGAGACGTTTGTACAGTTTGTCTAACATAAATGCGAGTGCATTGTTAAGTTCAGACAGATAGAAAGATGTAAGAATAAATGTCATGATAGGTTTCATTAACATGACAGAATGTCATATCCTATGAAAATGAAATTGCAAACTGCAATTGTTCAGAAAAAAATTACTAAATAAATATGAGAGAAGGTATGTATGTGTCTGTGCTACGTTGACAAACTGGCTATGTATGTAAAATGTATTTCTCATGCTTCCACTCCGTACGATCGAGTGGACACCTACCTATAAACACTAATGAAATATGTACATTGAGGAACTTCATAAATTTTAAGCATATAAATTGTATATGTTATTATAGGAATGTAACGCAATGTTAAATGTATCAATCTATTGTTAAAATGTCAGAGTAAAAACTATTCAAAATAAATCACGTACGAGAAAGGAAACGGTGTGTAATCGTTATCATGATTTCTGTTGAACGCAATTATGGAACCGACAAAAATTACTTTTCCTTGTAAGACGAATTTACTGTTGCTTCTGAAATCAAATGTCCACATAAAATAATTTGACATAATGTGGTAGTTAGCCAATTCTGCACAATCAATTGCAGAATTGATTGATGCATGCAGCAATGTTTCCGCNTATGTCACTGACGTTTTGATAATCAAGAAATATTCAATATTTCATTTACGACAAATAGGAGGGATATACTATTATACTTTAACCATGGCGTTGTTCAGTCAGATAACTTTAAGTATAGAAATGGACGAGTCGGTTTTGTACGTTTCTCGCTACGAAGAATGCTTCATTTGTTTAAGGTTTATATTTGCAAATACTTGAACAAATGAGACCGCGTGTTTTCAGTATTCCACGTTGATTTTATTGATACTTGAATATCAAAGAATGCTGACGTCTGTGTACCAAAATAAGCGGCCGCGATCATACGCGCGCGGACCGTGGTTATTTAATTGATCGATACTTCCCGTTAACAATAATTATTACCATACAGTTTTACTTGTACTGCCATAACAGACAGTGACGCGAGGTAATTAAGGGTAAGGCGCTTAAGAACGTTCTGTCGGTTTCAATATTTTTCTCGAGACGTTTGTACAGTTTGTCTAACATAAATGCGAGTGCATTGTTAAGTTCAGACAGATAGAAAGATGTAAGAATAAATGTCATGATAGGTTTCATTAACATGACAGAATGTCATATCCTATGAAAATGAAATTGCAAACTGCAATTGTTCAGAAAAAAATTACTAAATAAATATGAGAGAAGGTATGTATGTGTCTGTGCTACGTTGACAAACTGGCTATGTATGTAAAATGTATTTCTCATGCTTCCACTCCGTACGATCGAGTGGACACCTACCTATAAACACTAATGAAATATGTACATTGAGGAACTTCATAAATTTTAAGCATATAAATTGTATATGTTATTATAGGAATGTAACGCAATGTTAAATGTATCAATCTATTGTTAAAATGTCAGAGTAAAAACTATTCAAAATAAATCACGTACGAGAAAGGAAACGGTGTGTAATCGTTATCATGATTTCTGTTGAACGCAATTATGGAACCGACAAAAATTACTTTTCCTTGTAAGTCGAATTTACTGTTGCTTCTGAAATCAAATGTCCACATAAAATAATTTGACATAATGTGGTAGTTAGCCAATTCTGCACAATCAATTGCAGAATTGATTGATGCATGCAGCAATGTTTCCGCGATCGTCTTTTGTCTTTAAGCGATGCAACATTTATCGATCCATCAATATTAAAATTTACCGTAGTTACGCGTATATACAGTAAATTCCCCCTAATTGACGCTCAGATCGTGCACAAAAATGGACAATTCGAGAAGAGGCGGCACGATTATATACCTTGCGGTTCGTTTATATAGTTGTTGACAATCGGTAGCTATAATAATCGTATCTCCTCATTCCAAATTTTCCACAGATATACAGATGCGCCTTGTATTTGTGCGGGGTTAACAGAATAAAGAAACGAAAATTTTGTCGGGACAGTTAGCACAGGAAACAGGAATATTGCATTACCTAATATGTACATCATAGTGAAGCAATTATCGAAGGCGAATCCAACGAAGAAACGGCACAATGTGAACTGCCAGAAGCTTTGGGAGAACGCTGTAGCAACTCCAGCTAAAAATCCCATCATATTGGCGCCGATCAAAGCCGGTATCCTGCCATACTGATCGGCTATCCAGCCGAAGATCAGCCCTCCAAAGATAGCGCCGATGAAGAAGATACTCTGCGCTGTGGTCGGCAACGCACTATACTCGCACACCCATCCTAACTGTAACGAATGCCACAATTGTCAACTGAGAATATTTCCATTACCTCTACGAATGATTCCACGAGCTTTTTAATTAATCTTTACTTCACTTTTAATCGATTTCTACTTTTATTATTTATCTTCGTTTAAAATCAAATCTTCCATCCGCCATGTCGGAGAATGGCACTAGATCCACTAATTATATTTCAGATAATTATTTTCTGTTGTACCGCTACTATTGTACGAGCACATTTATTATTTATTATACGAATCGTTTATAATTGTATGTGTAAATTGTTTTCAACACAGTATTCAAGTTACTTCTACCAGACACGTCAGCTTTTCCTACGGATCTTAATGGAACAGGTGATATTTAATGAAATCGAAATTATATATATATAATTGCCAGAAACTCGATAATCAAATGGCAATTTTGCCGGGTCCATATGGACCCGAGCCACGTCGGGTCCAAACGTTACTTGATTAATTAGTTGCAAGATGAAGTAAATGTACAGAAGATGATTATCGTGGTATACGCGATAATGAGTTCACTAAAAAAAAGTCTGTAGATTAATCTGCACGCCAGACAATAGAATGACGAAATTACGCGCGTCTTAATTGCAACAATGCATCGCATTGTCGCGAAAGTTACGATATACAAACATCGTCATCTCGTTAATGTCCTATTGTTTCGTAACACGCCGTTGAATCGACTTGAGACGAAACGAACTCTCGCGACAACTAAATCATTCGTAAAGTAACAGTAACAAATTGCGAAAACGCGTGAAATTCTGTCGCACCTCCGTGGCAACGGTCGCGTAAGGGATGGTGGTGTAATTGAATTCCCATCCGTGCTGGCAGCTTTTCGTCGGCCAGGACGGGTCCGGCGCATGGTTTCCATTTAGCATGATCTCGGTGTAATTTACATCGTACACGCTGCATCTCGAGTAACCTTCGTGGGTGATTGGCACCGCCAACGAGCGTCTGCAACGAAAGGAAATTGATTGTCAGCCGGATCATAATTGAACCGCGGATTTTCTCGAGCGCTTTCGACGTTTGCGAAACTCACGAATTACGGTAATTTCTCCCTAATCAGCGCTCAGATTGCGCACAAAAATGGACAATTTGGGAAGATACGATTATTCGAGCCTCCTCGAGTCTCCTCCTTGTCCATTTTCGTGCACAGTCCGAGCGTCAATTAGGGACAATTCACTGTATATCGTAAAATTTCACGAATGAAAAGCTCGCTCGCGGCTCGAGGGTTGAGCGTAATAATTGCACGAACCGCTGTCATCGAATGCGATTTGATCGAACAGCTATGCACTTCGGCGCGTTACCAGTGCCGCAACTATTTATGTTAATTCAACAGGTGGACTATCTTCTGAGGTCGCCGTTGACCCACATACGTGCATTCTGATTTATTGGATAGTGCAGTTATGTAATTATTTCTGGACAGTGAATGTCTCAATAACGGCGCGCGCGACCGCGCCGAAGCGCATTCAAATTCTGCGCGAAGCTGCGCACTCGCGATTTGAGGAACGCCGAGCTGTTAGAATGCTTTCGATATTCATGAAAGAGATCATTTTTCACGCGGGCATTCTCCGTGTACTATGAAAGAGCTCTGTTGCGAATAGAGTTAATGACTAACCCTACAGAGAACTGCATTCCGTTGCACCGCGTATAAATTGAACCGGCAGCTACTTTCATTCGATTGCCTAACGTCGATTAGCCTAGTTTGCCCGGCGATTTTTGCTTTTGCACACGCTGTTAATTTTACGGAATCTGTTCGGACAGCTCGTAGAGTTATTGTAAAATCGATTTCGGTCTCTGCCGGATCCGTTCACAATTACGCTTAACCGCGAATTAATTTGGCTCCGACGATTGGCAAAATGGCGGGGCCGAATGTTGCGAAGCGACGATCGTGTTGAAATCGTCTTTATTGCCGAGCACCTTAATTAAGGTAATTACACGCGAGAGATGATTATCCCGCTTCTTGTATCCTTAATTTACAATGAAATTAGCAGGGTGACGTCACCGAGATCGCCGCCGTCTGATTCGGGGCCGACTCGAACCGCTTACGCGCTATCGTAAAATTAAGAGGAGGCTTTCTCGGGTTACGCACAATGCATTTATTGCACAATGAAAATGAAACGCGATAGGACGAACGCAAACAATTGGCAACAACGTCTACGATCCTTTGGAAACGCAATTTCAAGAATAGTTGCGTCTCGATCATTTTAACGCTAAATGCACCGAAAACTAAAAGCGACGTGTTGCTTCGCAAGAATGAAAAAAAGGCCGAGTTATTGTCAATCTTTCGCCATCTTTATTTCAATGTAGAAATTTATTCAAGCGTATTTCTTCCACGATTTTTAAATGTGGATGCGGAGAACCCGTCACTTCGACCGGCGGGTTCGTTGTTTATACTTTCAAAATGTCAATTTTTCAACGAAAACTTTCAGCGAATGTTTCGCGAAATTGCTTTTTAGAAAGTCCGAAAAGTTCAGCAGCAACTTCGTAATTGGTTGCTGATATTTGGCTGGCATTTTTTATCTTTGGTTCATCGATGAAGGCCCCGCTTGCTTAACCAACTCGCTGTGAAACGAATTGGAAAGAAAAAAAATATGCTGGTGAAAAGGTTCCGTTTCACGGAAAATTGAGCTTAGAAATTAGTAGACCACTCGTTCGTAGATATAGAAAGCGATGACCATTCGTTTTCTTGTTCTAAAAAACGAGAGGCCGTGAGTAGACTAAGATCTTTCGACACTCGTGGCGAAACGAAAGAAAATATTGATAACACAAGCGAGATACAAACCCGTAAAATTTTTAAAATAACTTCGGAATACTGTCAAGTTGTTTTTAACGCATTGACATTATTAACAAGTTGTGTCACGCTTTCTCAAGATTCATTTTTCTCCTAATTTATTGAACACTCCAAGCGTTGCTAGAATTTTTAGAGAAGAAGGGTCAATCTAATATTTTGAATTTTAACTTTCGGTTTCATTAATTATATAACTTTGATGGAATTTTCGGAGTTGATATTCGTCGCTTAACATGTTGTCAAGTAACATTATATGAAAAAATACATTTTTCTCCAGCTTCTGCTCTTTACAGTTAACATCGAAATATTTTATTTTGCATAAAAATCCACGGTCCTAAGGAAGATTGTATTTTATATTTTTCCGATGTACCCTAAAGAATTGACTCATTCGTAATTGCGAGACGAATACTTATCAGAACTGTACTTCTTTATAGCGCCAGGCTCGCGTACAACGTTGGATGGAGCGTATAATTTTTCGCGTTCACGCTCTCATTATTTGTACGAAGGCTCTGCGCATAGATTCGTTGCATATTTTCTGGTGAATGGCCGCGCCGCCGCCGGACGACGGTATTTCAGCGTGCAGAACTAATAACGACACCGTTGCAAAATTTTGTCGTCGAAGAGGAGGCGGAACAACATTTTGATTTCGAAATCTGGAACGTCTGATGTGAGACCGAAAGTTTCTCCGACGCGGATTTTACGAAAGGTCCGACTAAAAAGCTGTGAAACTAGACAATATTTCCCTAGGAAGGAAGCTTAAACATTTCTGAAAGCTTAAATTATTCGAATTGTGCACGAATACAATTGATTTTTCGTAGAGATTCCACTTTTTATTTTTTTTTAAATAATTATGATCAAATAATCTTCTTTAATAATTACTGTTTATATATTATATATATATTATATAATATATATAATATATTTATATATTAAATATTACAATGAATTATAATATAATAAAATTAAAAACATGTTTTTCCTCGACAACCATAATCTTTAGACCTCGCTCTAGTCGATTTTCGATCGTTCCATTCACCGCGAAACCTTTTTCGCGGGAATCGCCGGAAAATTGGCTAAATTGTTATTACAGAAAATTGATAGTGCTCGATTATATCGAGTGAATGAAAAATGAATGAATTAATCTCGCGACTCACTTTTTCAATAAGGAAAATGTGTACGCATTGGAACGAAGTCACGATGCTGACGAAAAATGCAGCCGGATTGCAGCTATCACAACAAACCAGTTTTCATGAATAAAATTGAATAGAATTATCAATGGAAATTCGATTCTCTTCCGTAAATCGTCCTGCATTGTCTTTGTTCGTTGTTGATCCACGACGACCAATTGAAATACTTGCCGATAAACATCAAGAATAGCAATAATGTCTTAACAATGACATCTACGAGATATACGAGGAACGCAGTACGATAAAAGACACAGCAAGAACGATGCATGTTAGCGAATCCATCGAGTTTTACACTTTTTATCTGCTACCGATCTCTTCGATCGGCTATCTTCCAAGTTAATCTAAAGCATGTAATTTCATAATTACATCACTGACGAGCATAAAACTTGCGTTTTTGTGTTTAATGTTCGACCATCCGGTGTTAACAATGTGATCTCACGATCATCAAATTTTACCCACAAATCTGGTGTTGTACCCAGGGGAAAAATACCCGCGGAATTGACGCGCCTGCGAGAAAAACCAACTGGCAAAAACATCAGGCGGATTCAATTAACGACGACAAATTACGCGAGACCTTTGTCTCATTTCTTTAATGACTTCGAACGAACGGTTCTAGAAAAACGCGTTCCGATATAATGCGTACCTTATAAATAAATAATAACACGCGTGCACTATTATTAACAATGTTTACGTCTAAGCTACGCATAATTTAAAATATCTTCGAGCCGATCTATTTTCAACGGAACTTTCTAGACAACAAAGAAACGTGTCGGTACACAAAGAAATTTATAATGCTCCCTCGAGGAAGCACCAGTGACCTCGAAATGTTGCAGACACATCCGCTTAAAGTGCAGACGATGCAACAGATGATGCGCGCTATTCCAACCAATTAATTTTCCCTAATCGAATATATTCAGTGACCCTTGTCCTTGACTTTTTCGACTCGTTCACTTTTCTAATATCAGCGTAAAAATTAATTCTGAACAAATACAACAATTAATTAATTATTCCGTTAAAAGAACAAGCATTATAGCGAATTTCTATGATAGTTCAATATACAGGGTATCCCGAAAATGTCTCGTAATCCGGAAGTGGCGGGTTCCTGTGGTCATTTGAAGTAACTTTTTCCTTAGCGAAAATGCAATCCGCAGCTTCGTTTACGAATTATTAACGAAAAACGGTGACCAATGAGAAGCGAGATCGGCTGGCGCTAGGCGACCGAGCTAATGAGCGGAACTGGCCTTCGCGCGCTCGTGGGTTGGCCCGTCTCGCGCCAGCCGAGCTCGCCTCTCATTGGTCAGTGTTTTTCGTCAATAACTCATGAACGAAGCCGCGGATTGCATTTTCGCTAAGGAAAAAGTTACTCCAAATAACCTCAGGAACCCCCCATTTCCGGATTGCGAGACAATTTGTGGACATCCTGTATAATTTTTGTGACACTTAATGTACAATTTTTCACATAGATAAACGTCTAATTTTGGTGTTAAAAAATCGTCGGAAATCTGTGAAGCAAACTGTTTCAATCGATCTACATCGAACGGTCTATCCGAAGTGGTTCGAAAGGAACGCATAGATAGGTCCGTTCTGCATCGAAAGTCTTATTGGAATTATGCGAGCGCCTAATCGGTGACGGTTTCGCAAGAACAGGGTGCTCCTTCCGGACGTTCGTTCCGTCGTTAATTTCCAGCAAAGTGTATCGACTGCATTGTTTTGCGCCGGGCAAACTGGCGCAAGAGCGTCGGCAAAAACGGTCATCGCATCGTCGACTATCTGGGAAAGTGTAGAAACACGGTGACGAAACGAAGGTGTAACCCGATTGCAGCTTCGCGTTCGGTTACATGCGCTGTCGTAAGCCGCTGCACCGCGGGTTAAGAACCTTGATGTTATTCAAATAATGTAACACCTCGATCGGCAGTCAGTTATGCCGAATAAAACGCGTTTCGCCTTAGCTGGTGCACCGCTCGTTCCTTTCCTTTTCATTTTTCTCGGCGAGACTCCGCGCCGCGCGTTGCATAATTCATTGTAAATTATCGCGGGCTCATTCTCGCGGGACGTACCTCGCTGATTTAAAACGGCCACTTGACCCTGGAAATTTCGGAATTTTTGCCATCTTTTCGGCACGCGATTTCCCGGTTTTCTAGGGCCCCTTGAGTCGCTCGGAAAGACGGCCTATTTTAATCGCGTCGTTTTTTTTCTTTTTCTTAAATTATTTAAAGTGGTAATGCGCGGATAGAAGTCAATTTTTACTATTTTAAAAAATGACACAAGAGGTGCCATTCGCAATGAATTATTTCGTTGTATCAGGAATTGTAGGATTTTCCAACGTTTTGTTTAGGATCGGACTGTTATTCATTCTCGAACCATTTTTCAGTAAAGCAACGCGCATGGGACGACGCGTAAATTTGTACCATTTTAAAGACCGTCATAAAACGTGTCATTCGCTATGATTTATTTTACGTGTCGGGAATATTGCAGTTAAAAATGCAAGCTTCGCGTGCAATTTTTTGCACTCGACGTTTTAAAACACTTTGAGTCACCGGCGAAAATTAGAAACATTCTTTTCGTCGTGCCTTGTTAATCATCCAGAAGCAGCAGAGTAACGTGAGATAACGACGTGATTTTGTTAACGCGAAATTGTTAAAGTGCACGTTCGTTTATCGCGCGTGCATCGCGACGATTTCACCGGACATTATTTGCTATTACTTGGAGCGACTGCTGCGTAAAATTCTGATCGCGAAATGTTGTTGATTAGATAACAGTATGAAGATTAAATGAATTATTGGAATAGCGACATATTATTATTAAATCGTCATAATTGTTAAAGGAACAAACAAATGTCTACTTCACGTAGCTGCTGATTGTAGAAATGTTGCTTTCGCATACACACCCGCTGCATAGCGTTTTTATCTTAAATAAAAATCTTGCTAATAAACAATTAAACATGTTCTGTCTCATTTTATAATGCTTTTGATATAGTTGTACTTAAACGCCATCATGCGTTCGCGGTAAACGCAAATCTCTGAACACTTTCTTGACAACCAATGGAATTATTCTACTTAATTAATCCAGAACTGGACGGGATTCAGTTGCACTTCTCGTTAGCATTTCAACGACTAATTCATTCGCTTGTACGTTCTTACAACGATTTAAGATGCATCCACGTTTGCATGAAAAACTGTGTACACAGATTCATAGCGAGTCAAGTTGCTTGTCGCTCGTGTCTAGCCGTGTAAAAACTAAATGTTAACGGGCAGGATATGTAAATAGATTAATAATTGACTGGATGAATCATCGAACACCGTCAGGAATAGTAACAATGTCCTGGATGTAATTAACAAGGATGATTTAACGGTAATGGGAGTGTTCGGACAGGAAATGCACGGACCTGGACAATGTTTCCGAGTGCACATTAACAATAATCTGCAGTCTATTCATAAAGCATTCCTATTTCTATGAAATAATTGTTCTTCAAATACGAATACTTCGCTCTAAAATGCTGCACTATGAAATATAAAGTGCTTCACTATAAAATACTTCATGATAAAGTACTTCACTATAAAGCACTTCACTATAAAATACTTTATGATAAAGTACTTCGCTATAAAATACTTCATGATAAAGCACTTCACTATAAAATACTTCATGATAAAGTACTTCGCTATAAAGCACTTCACTATAAAATACTTCATGATAAAAAAAGTACTTCACTATAAAATACTTCATCATAAAGTACTTTACTATCAAATACTTCACTACAATGTACTTTACTATCAAATACTGCGCTATAAAGTAGTTCAATATGAAGTACTTCACTACACTTGATGATAGTCCAACGATCGTTTCTCTTTCGATGTAATTACATGTTCTGATACAGCAGATATTTCAACATAAGCAGTAATTACTGGTCGATTAATGCTACTCGTTAATTACCATATGTCATTCGGATTGCTAAATCTGAAGTACCGGAAAGCGGCGTTCCTTTTCCACTAACTTGGCCAAGGTATAATCGGAACATGAACGCTGGATAACTGTCGTTGACGTCAGAAGACCAAATTAAACAAAAACCGCTTAAATGTCTATACAGAGAGTGTTTCCGCTTGTATTTATCTCTGTGGAACAAAGGATTAGTCTATTTGACGACGGAATTATCAAACAACGAAAGCTTGCAATAATAAACTTTACGGGATCGTAATTTCCGATAGCCGTATGTACATTGCGCAATTCTACAAATTCATTAATTTACTAGTTTATCCCTATGCTGCCTATTAATCGCCACGTTCACCTACTCCTTTTTTCAGCGATCTATTCAGGAAACGCCGCGATCAATGCGTTGCTCGAAATATCAGAACTTCGCCAGCAAGGATGCAGATCTCTAATAATAGTAGTGTCAAGATACCTACGCATTTTTTCACCGATGAACGCAGATAATGCGAGCGCTAGTTTCCGCTACGAAAAAAAAGCGACGTATCAGGAGCACCGATCTAATAAAAAACATCGCCCATTGTGATCGAGCTCGTAGATACAGAGTCGGTCACGAAAGTCTTACGTGCACCTGCTACAATTTTAAATTGCTGCATTCCATTCGACCACAGCAGCTAACACACGGCGTGTGTGCGTTCGCTCATTAAATTTTCAATTTAACACACATTACCCATGCGAGCAGCGCCCATTGCGTAATCGACAAATTCTCGGAAACGGATACACAGACAGTTCCCGGCGAAAATCAATTTCGAAAATCACCGATCTCAGATACGACATTTACGACATCAATTTCGGAGATAACCGATCAAGATACGATCTTAAAGAGCCTCTCCTAGATAAAGACGACTCAACGATGCACCGAACGATTCATCAAGATATCCCGATTCTATTCATCTCGATCTGTGAAGGCCCGTTAAACGGTACCAGAAAAGCCATTAATCAAACGACATACCTTTGGTCCACGGTTAGGTTCCCAAGTTCCGGCACCCAGCACCAGTGATCGTCCGGTATCAGCGTGATGAAGATCTGCGAGAAGTACACCCAGGCGACGAACGAGGCGAACGGTATCATCAGGATGAACAGGATCCTCTGATAAATCCCGAATTCCCCGACATAAGGTAGCAACTCGTCGAAATCCATGTCTCTCGCTTCGTCCTTCGCATCCTTGGCAACCTGCCTGGCACCGGGGACCTCCAGATTCATAGAGCTCTGGCAAGCACCAGCATTGTTCTCCTTATCCAGCGGCACAGGCGTCCCGAACTTCTCCTGCGGAGGCATCTTGGCCGCGATCCTCTATCACAAGATCCGGAAACACCTTGGATAACTTCGGGGGTACCCTCGCTCTTTCAGAAGCTGGCTTTCACTGATCACGATCACTACCGATCACTGATCCCCTATCCCACTGTTCTCCTAATCGTTGATAACGCGGCGCAGCATCGTTTTCCTGGAAGCTTCGAAGCAGGCCGATGCGTCTCCTTATCTGATCAGCGCACGGGGATCCGGAGATACCGACCTCAAATGTTTGCCGGCCTCATCGTCGCGAGATAGAGCTGATCGGGGAGCTGGTCGGGGCGCCGCTAAAGGGGAAAGTGGACAAATCCTAAGTGAGGACTTCGAAACTGAAATGATCGGTTCCGTAGCCGGCTATATAGCCACCGAGGTACTCCCTCTCTTTTCCCTTGCGAGTAGAATTCACCGATCTGCGAGTGGCATTGAGCAGACCGCGGATCGTGTCAATCATCTTCGTCACCCGGCCACGGGCAATGTCTCCCAACCTCTGCCGAGAAGATCCGCTTTTCTTCGGTATTGTTGACCCAACGATGGTCGGTTCGCGCATTGTGACGGGCCGTCAACTATGTTGCATCGGGATGATCGCGCGCAGATCAGCCAGGTTTAAATTTAGCGCTAATCGATCGAGGGTGACCAGATGTACGATGCGATACACTGACCAACACCAATATTTATTCTCGCGAACCCCATGATTTCTGCTCGGCGTAGTCGGAGCCAAAGGGTGCAACCTTGCGCGACGGGAACTGGTACAGGCGTAATCTGGGAAACAGTCGCGTTCGGTTTCGTTGAACCGTGAAAGGCTCCAAAAAGATTCCGAGCATCAGATTTTCGAGAAATCGTCGATGTTTAAATTGATATAATTTTGTAAGAACGAGTCTTATGGCCTGGACTGATTATAAAATTTCGAGCTTCTACTTTTGTTAAGTGGGTCTTTTTTTAAGTACATTTTACCACCATGTGACGGTATACAGTATCTTACACTTTTTTGAACTTCCAAGTACTAATTCTGTATGTTCCTAAACAAGTTGCACTAAAATTCTAAACTATTAGGAAAATTATTATATAATTGGTTGTTTATAATATCTCTGGAGTCTCTTGTACATTATTTCTTTCAGAAAAAAGTTCCACTGAAATTCTAAATTACTAGGAAAATTATTGAATAATCAGTATTTATAATATCTCTGGATTCCTGTACATTATTTCTTTCAGAAGAAAGTTCGACTGAAATTCTAAACTACTAGGTAAATTATTATGAAGTCTATGTATTCCATATTTTGTTTCTTCCAAGAGGAAGTTGCACTAAAATTTTCAACTATCAGGTGGACTATTATAAAATCAATGTTTACTGCACATCTGTATATTATTTCTACCAAAAGAAAGTTGCACTGGAGAAGGGATACACTGGAGATCGATCTCTGTAGTACGATTTTTAAAGCCACTGTACTTGAATGATTAATCCCGAATGTTATAGAATATCCTTTTTTGGAAGTTTTTAAAGAGAACCTAAACTTTGAGAACTCTGATCGAAGGATGCCAAAGAATTGATCAATTCAAACTAAAAGTCTTCTTTGAGAAATCACCTAGGGAAATGACTGATTCAGTTTATTGTGCTGTTCCTGAAATGTGAAACACGGGAGAACATCGGTTGTTTTTCCTCGTCATTGAAGTCAGACATTGACTTCCTGATCCTGTCAGTGATAAATACGGATCGCTGTTCGAGTATTCTATTTTCATAATTTTATATTTATAGTAAAGACAAAATTTGTTCCGCCGACTGAAAATGTATTTCTGGTGAAAATAAACTGAAAATGTCATTCTTAGCTAATGTCAACGTTCTCCTGCATTTCGCACAAAAATCCACAGTCATTACATGCGCTTAACTATGCTAAAATTTAATATTGATGCATAGGTAAGTGTTGCATCGTTTAAAGACAAAGGACGATTGCGGAAACATTGCTGCATGCATCAATCAATTCTGCAATTGATTGTGCAGAATTGGCTAACTACCACATTATGTCAAATTATTTTATGTGGACATTTGATTTCAGAAGCAACAGTAAATTCGTCTTACAAGGAAAAGTAATTTTTGTCGGTTCCATAATTGCGTTCAACAGAAATCATGATAACGATTACACACCGTTTCCTTTCTCGTACGTGATTTATTTTGAATAGTTTTTACTCTGACATTTTAACAATAGATTGATACATTTAACATTGCGTTACATTCCTATAATAACATATACAATTTATATGCTTAAAATTTATGAAGTTCCTCAATGTACATATTTCATTAGTGTTTATAGGTAGGTGTCCACTCGATCGTACGGAGTGGAAGCATGAGAAATACATTTTACATACATAGCCAGTTTGTCAACGTAGCACAGACACATACATACCTTCTCTCATATTTATTTAGTAATTTTTTTCTGAACAATTGCAGTTTGCAATTTCATTTTCATAGGATATGACATTCTGTCATGTTAATGAAACCTATCATGACATTTATTCTTACATCTTTCTATCTGTCTGAACTTAACAATGCACTCGCATTTATGTTAGACAAACTGTACAAACGTCTCGAGAAAAATATTGAAACCGACAGAACGTTCTTAAGCGCCTTACCCTTAATTACCTCGCGTCACTGTCTGTTATGGCAGTACAAGTAAAACTGTATGGTAATAATTATTGTTAACGGGAAGTATCGATCAATTAAATAACCACGGTCCGCGCGCGTATGATCGCGGCCGCTTATTTTGGTACACAGACGTCAGCATTCTTTGATATTCAAGTATCAATAAAATCAACGTGGAATACTGAAAACACGCGGTCTCATTTGTTCAAGTATTTGCAAATATAAACCTTAAACAAATGAAGCATTCTTCGTAGCGAGAAACGTACAAAACCGACTCGTCCATTTCTATACTTAAAGTTATCTGACTGAACAACGCCATGGTTAAAGTATAATAGTATATCCCTCCTATTTGTCGTAAATGAAATATTGAATATTTCTTGATTATCAAAACGTCAGTGACATATTTTTCGCTAGTAAAAAAATTGACGTGATG